TTTTCGATTTTTGAGTACGAAACTGTACTATTGACGCTGGTTACGACCGAAAATTGTGCGTTCTTGAACGGCTGGTGGTATAATTCTGATTTTTGGCCTAAAAATAGTATGAATTTGTAGAAATGTAATGGCAAAATCTTAGAATTTATCGAGGTCAATTTCATTTTTTAAAAGCAAAACTATTTTCGCGATTTTGCGTTATTTTTGTTCTTTGAGTGATAACTCGCTTATAACTCGCTGCCTATGGCTGATATTTTGTCAATGACCTATCCAAATATTAATCACGGATTCCACACCAAATTCCGCCACAATCTATGGTATTTTTATATTGCTTGCTAAAACGTGCCCCAGTGGGGTACTGTAGGTTTCGTTTTTCCCGCTTTTCTCGGGGCCCCTAGCTTCGATTCGGCTAAAATTTTCTGGGTTGTTAGGGAATAAGTAGGGGCACCTTCCTGCCAAATACGAGAGCGTACTATCCACGAACTTTCATGAAAAAGCCTAAAAACTGATTTTTTAAGTCCGCCACAGCTTCTTGTAAATTTTTTGGTCAGTTGTACCAAAAACCGCTACTATTAGTTTTACGAAAAGATCAAAGCGATTCCATGGCAAAAACACCACGAAAATCGCGAATTTCGGTTTTCTACAGTAACCCCCGTGGAGCGCGTTTTAGCATACCATCATAAAATTCCATAAAGTGACGATTTTTCAATTCGTGGGCCTTCTAGAGTTGATTGTAAGATAACCTGTGAAAAATTACTGATTTTGGATGGTAAATAACAAAGTTACGAGGCCAAGTGCAAAACAAGGCCAGAGAGCCGATTTTTGGTCCGAGTAGCCGGGGTCAATTTTCGAATTTTTAAAAAATAAAAAAACCAGCTGGGTCCTATGGATACGATTATAGCTTTGATGTTATTATCTACGCCCGTAAAATTTGGGGGCAATCTGATTCAAAATTATGGTGACTTTCAGCTCAAAATCGAAGATCGCGTATTCCAAAATCGAAGTTTAGAAATCTTCTTAAGATTTTTGCGACGCGAAATTGCTTTAATCTTTGCATAGTTTTATTTAACTGATGGCACTGATTTATTGCTCAAAATATCCCTACGACTCCACCTTCCAAAATTTTTTGACGCAACCTCCAAATCGGTTTATTTCGGGTTTTGATGAATTTTCTTGGCGGCAACGGCTGGTTAAAAAAATTCATGAATGAGGGTTTAGGGTTGCGCTATTTAACTAGTATCAGATAAAAATAAAACGATAATTTTCACAGTGCGACTAAATTTTATAAAATGGTGACAAGAATCGGAAAAAAGCGCGAACCAACCGTTTTGGAAGCCCTAAAAGACGCCCTTCCAAAGGAGTACGGTGGCTCGCAATTTCGTAGATGATAGATCAACCCCAGAACTACATAACTAAGCAAGGAAAACAGCTGAGTCCCCTTTGGCAATTTAAAAATATTTTTCCAAAGTTGGGTTTCGAGACCTCGAAAAATCCACGACAAGGGGGTCGTTGAAAAACTCGAAAATTCATCGATCTCAAAAAATTCTTTAATATGTTTATGCGATTGTGTCAAGCCTGTAGGTATTCCACAACAACTGATTTTGAGGTTTGTGCCATAAGTTTTTCTAAAATTCGAAATTGACGAAACTTCTCCATACAAAATTTCATTCCTCTCTAACTTTTCAAGCAGACCCTCAAAAATTCTTAAATTTCTTAGGTACATAGCTGCTGCCTATATTAACTTATTTAATAAAAATTAGATGCCAGCAACCACAGGAAACTGAGAAAAATATAAATGAATTTTCCCCGAACGCACAGTTTTCGGGTGTCATTTGTATTGATACGTCGCCAAAAATCGAAAAAATCAAGTTGTGTTAAATCTTCATACCCAGCATATTTAAGCATTCTGGCATGGTAACGCACCTTCAATTCTCTACCGCTCGCGAGTTATTTTGACCCAAACTGTGTACTTTTTGCTTGGCCCACCCTGTACCATCCGTCAGAGCCCGGGTGGATCCTTCCGTGGTCGCCAGTTGGGAATTCTGGGGTCCCATGGCCATGGCCTAGCTCCGGGTCCAATCCGCAAAACAAGTGCTCCGGGCGGGGGTCGAACCCGCATCCTACGGCTTTCGAGTCCGATGCTCTCCCTATTGAGCTACCGAAGCACGCGGAATGCTTCTCTCGGGGCAGCTATCCATGCCGGCCCCTCACATCCAACCGGCTACCTCAGCTTCCGGCGGATGCTAATTGCTCCTAACAAAGAGGGGTCCCGAAAATTTTACAAAAACCTAATTTTAATGTCGAAAATAGGTGATTTTAATAAATCTGATATGCGTGCAGTCATCGCCAGACCATCACGCACCTAATGACGTATCATATGTACCCTAAAATTGATCCCCTAGCGAGATATCTTCCGGACAGACAGACGGAAATGGATGCAAAGTGGCACACACACAGACACACACAGACACTATTTTTTTTATATATAGTAGGATAGTTACTATACTTCGCCCGCCACCCTGGTGGGCCCACCCCAAAGGTGGGGAAAGGTGGGCGCGCGGGGTGGGCAGAGGGGTGGGCGCCGGGGGTGGGTGGGGGATGGGGGTGGCGGTGGGGTGGGGAGGCGACCACCCCACCCCCACCCCCACCCCCCACCCACCCTGGACGCCCACCCCACTGTAAGACTAGCGAAAAAGCTAGCCTTTAACCAAGCTTATTGACAGTATAGAACCGTATGGTCCTATAACAACCATTTTTATATCATTTTGAAAATTGTAGAGAGCGAATTTCCTTTAATAAAACCCCACACATTTTTTCCAAAAGCAAAAAATTTTCTCTAAGAGAATTCCTCCCCTGGGGTGATTGGAGAAAATGGAACCATCGGGATTCTATAGTGGAAAGCGGTACAAAAATTCGGCAGAATTATAAAAATTTACGCAAAATATTGGCTTTTTGATCAAAAATGTATGAAAAATGGCCAAAGAGGGCCAAATTTGTTAAGAATTTTATGTACTTTTTTAGCAATAAAAAAAATTACTGACTAAGACAGTATAAACAGCTTCATTACCTATGTGATCTATTTTCTCGACTGTAGATTTGATGGCTTCCCTTGGCGGGGGGGTCGTCTCCCCACCCCGACCCCCCACCCTCTCCCCACCCCCGGCGCCCACCCTCTGCCCACCCCCCACCACCACCCCTGCCCACCTTTTGGGGGGGCCACCAGGGTGGCGGGCGAAGTATAATAGTTACCTAGAAAACCGCTATACAAGGCTCAAATCCTTCCGGCTGAGGTTCTAGCATCGAAACAAGGGGTGGTCTTTTCCAGAACTTCCGTCATTAATTCAAAAGCACGTATCGTGACTCCACCTAACTTTTTAGCGAGGTTTGATCGTATTTTGATCAAAACAGGCCGAAAACCTAGCCATAGACCAGCTGGGTCGAAAATTTCGGGAACTTTAGGCTTTAAAATCTCCTTATTTTGGTGAGAACTCTCGTCGCGACCCACACAGTTCGATAGAGAATTTTTTTCTCTACCAAGTTCCCAAGCCTCCCGAAGCTTCGAAATAGTATACAAGAAATTATCAGAAGAAAACGTAGATTTTCTGAGTTGTTAATATGGGCGGCGCCGCCCCACAGAGCCCGGAGGGCAATAGGCGCGCCCCGTACTAAAGTGCCCTTTGACGAGCCGTGCTCGGTTTTCGGCTCGGTTTCGGCTCGAAAACCAAACCGAGCACATTTCCCAACACGAGCCGCGACGCCCCAGACGCGCGTTGCGGGCGTGGTTACACGGGGAAAAGGGGCGACGCGGTGGCCGCAACGCATCAGCCACCCACCCGCCCGAGGGTTACCAATTCCCCGAAGCCAAAACAGATTGCGTCTCTTGACTTTCCTGGACAGCGCCCTCACCTCCCAAGCTCATCGCTTCCAGCTTGTTGCAAGCTCTACTGTCTTTTCATTCTAAGTTGTTAAAATACTCGAGGGATATTGTTAGTTTCACTTGTGAGCTTGTTTTGATGTATTTCGGCATCGAAACAGCGTTTTCCTCTAGCCTGTAATTTTGGTTCCTTTCCTTTGCCCGCTGGTCTTCATAAATTTTGTCATTTCCTCCGTCGCGCTGCAAAAACCACCATTGCTTTTTCATATTTTGAAGATCAACGCAACTTGGCCATTTTATCGTTAGTTTTGAGCTTTGGTTTCTTTGATTAGCGGCAGCTAGATTATCAATGCGGGACTGGAGTCGTTGATATTCAGCTGGATTCATGTTTTAAAGCTAATTCCTCCTGTTTTTCTGTTAATGACGATTTTCGCCGGGTTTTCCACGGAGGGGGGCCATACGCACAGGTGGCACTCGACTCAATTGTAAGGAAAAATGACCCGCAGACTGCATGTTTCGCCGTTTCAGCTTCTTCATTCGTCAAAACCCTGATATGCTCTTTATTGACTTTATCAGCACGAAAAATGCCAGAAAAATCAACTCAAATAACTACAAATAGGCGACAAAATAGTATTTACGCCCAAAAAAAGTCTCTTTTGCTCCCAGTCTCGTTTTTTGTTGCTTTATATTGTCATTTAACATCTAGATTTTCTGTTATAAAGTTATAAAGTTTCTACGCAACCAGTGAGACGAGTTCGGTCTATGGGTTCTCGTTAATCGCCGGCCGTCTTTTGAGCTCTGCGATTTGTCTGTCATTGTTAGCTGATGGCGGTTTATATGTTTCCGAAATCTCTTTAGTTTAGGAAACACCAATTTTTGGGTTTTTTTCGACGGTTCTATGAAGCGCGCATCCAGTGCGGCGCCGATTGGTTGTCTCTTCTTTTTCATGCATGTAAGACAAATTCAAGCGTACTTTAGTCTAATTACATCTCTGCGATATATCCCTTACTGGGGTTTTTATTGCGAAGCATCCCGAAATATTGCTCATTATATGTCCTTCTCTAATTTATTGTCTTTTTTTCATTTTCTGTAATAAAAACTGTTTTCCAGGGCTCCCTCGACATCAATGGTGAACGACGAGAATCGGGAGAAGAGGGGCTACTCGCAGCAAGCGCCGGAAACCAACAAAGAAAAGGATGAGGTCGACGAGATGTCTGCGCCTACCCGAGCAACCAGCGAATCGGAGAAACAAGGGTCGTCAAATCCTCTTCAGCAGGTAGCAAGAGTTTTTGAGCTTTGAAATGGTTTGTTCGCATCATCGGGGGGGACTGACGGCGATTGTTTGTACAGGTCGAGAAATCCCGAGCAACTTAGTAGGAAATAGTTTAATCATGTTTTAGTCAACCTAACTAATTTCACCCGAAACACTATCTAAAAACTAAAACATTTTTACAAATAGCCCCCATTTTGATCAAAAAGGGCCAGTTTTGGTCGAATAATCTATATTTGTTGTAGTTTTACTAAAAATCCGTGGACTTTTTACATCCAGGAATAGTAAAAAACAGTAGAAAGACTTCCGCTATTTATAATTGAAAAATTAGAACCTAAAAAGGGTTCCCCAATCCCGCCCCCGTTAATGCGATAGAACCTTTGAAATATTTTCTTACATACATATACACATTCTGGTGTTTAGGCGATTCCGGTGCCGGTTTTCATTGGGGATCAAACGGCACGTGTCATTACAAATGGTTGGCATCGTTTTTGGGGCGTTTTTACAAATTTTTGGTTTAGATGACGGAACAATGGTCAAGGAAAGTCTCGACGAGCATGCAAAGCCATATAACGATGTCCACGAATTGAGGCATGATTTGAATCTGCTAGGAAGGAAATGTGAGTTTTCTCGATTCACTCGCTTAGGGGTTATTAATGATTGATGGCATAGTGGCGCATCACTGACCCAGTTGGTGATCTCAATCTCTGACACGAATTTTTGGAAATGCAGTTGTACATACCGTTAATTTTCTTTACAGATACCATTGACGAATTACAACTGGCTGCGCTGAAGTGGTCTGGAACGCCGCTGCCCGACTTTTGGTACAAGGAGTTTCGCTCTAAACGCGGCTTGACGAGCACGCTTTTGTCAATTTTGCTGCGCGAGGGCAAGGCTCTTTTTCGCTATCCTACTGTGAGTAAATATGAATTTATGGACTTTTAGTTTTGTTCTCTATGATAGGCGAAGATAATCTTTTGAAGTCAATTTCAAAAATTCTGCAATTTTAGGGAATCTTGTGGCGTAATCTGGAAGGCGATCAGACACAAGCTGTTCAGCCTGCTGTCGGTGATGGGTTGCCAGCTGAAGAATTTTCTCCCTCCGATGAAGATAATTCACCAAAGAGGTTGGCTTTCTTTCAAAATATCACTTTTTTTTTGCAGTTTTGTGGAACACGATGAAAGCCACACCATCGAAATTGTAGCAGCTGGGGGAGGAAATGAGCCAAAGTTGGATTTCTGTCTAAATATTTAATTTTTCATTTCAGTCAACAAGCCCTGATGTGCGGGCACTGCCACTGGAGTATCGGGCCGGATGAAATTTGGAAGGTACGTATAAATTAACAGGGGAAATAGCGCATTTCCACCTCTCTTTTTCGTGTCTTTACCGCTCCGAGATTCTGGGGGTAATCTTTTAACCTGGGGCGACTTCATAAATTTCGATCCGGCTAATCTGAAAAAATAACCGAAAAGTGGGGGATTTGTTATTACGGCCTGCGAATATCTTGTGTTTAGGCGAATATTTGCGTCATGTGCAATCAGCCATGCCACGACCACTGCCGATGCCCAGCCGACGAGCCCTCCACCTCAAGACATTGATTGGTGAATAGAGATATCTCTATTCGAGCTTATATTGTTACTTGTTCATTTCTATCAACGATCCTCTTTGGTTGTGCTTTCTTCTAAGCTGTAGTGTTTTTTATATGTTGTTCCTTGTTCCGATCCTTGGCCTGTCCCCCAACCGATCATCATCCAACTCGTGGCCGTGTTTAGTGAAAAGAAAAAAAAATGTGTTGTGATGATTTTAGGTAGTGGGAGTGAATAAAACTGGCCTCAAGATTAATTAGCTACAGAAATTCCGTTAAGTTGCAGTGGAGTGGAACGAAAAGGGCGGTCGCTGCGTGAATAAGGAGACGTAAAGGGATCGAATCAGCGATTTGGTTTCCTATCGACGGTACCAATTTATTGAAAAAACACAGCAGGGCGTGAAAAAAGGAACATCAAAACTACAAACTAATCACGAGACATCGATTCTGAAATAGCGAGAGTTGTAGCGATGATTTCTGGAGGAAAGATGTTCTGACGGCTGGTCGATAGTCGGTGCCCGGAACTCGTTTCACAAATTCTTCCGTTGACACCCACGCGTATTCCGGAAAATGAAAAGGAACCAAGGTTCTTTTGCATTATCGGGGGGGGAGGTGTACAAGGCTAGAAATGCCTGGTAATTCAATAATTAGTATTTTAATAGTGTTTTTAGTCAGTAAAACTATATTTCAACGCGAAAATGATAGAAAAAGGCTGACAACAGGTTTGTTACGCGAAAAAAATAGTAAAACGTCGATATTTTTGGTTCTTTCCTTGCAAAGTTGCAGCTTAAAACGGTTTAGAAGCCCTTCCGCTAATTTATTGTCCTTTTTTAATTTGTGTAATAAAAACACTTTTTCAGGGTCGTTTGCCGAGTGACAGAAGCGGCACAAGGAGAAGAACAACAAGAAGAAGATGGACTTCTCGGAATTGCTGCAGCAGGCCGAGAAGAACAAGGAGAAGCTCGAGAAGAAGGTCTCCACCATCAAATCAACGATCGATAGTGAGCAGCAACAACGTTTGCAGCTTCTTCAAAAGGTAGCTGGAGTTTTTCGGCCTGGAAAACGTTCAAAATGGAAGGTTAGAAACTAGCAGAAGCTTCTAGACTGGCTGAAAGTATCGAATTTTTGTGTAATTTTAGAGAGGCCTAGTAATATAATAGGTTTTAATCGTGTTTTTAGTAAAATCGAACTTGATTTCGACTGAACAACTGTTTTAAAAAGTTATGAGTCGAAATTTTGATAAAAATCGGCCATTTTTGGTCGGTAAATCGATATTTTTGTATTTTTAATAAAGCTTTGTAAAGTTTTTACGTTAGGAAATAGTAAAAAAATCATTTAGAAACATGTACTTTATTTAGATTTGGAAAATTGGTCCTTTTTCAGCGCCGCGAGGATAAGAAGGAGGAGCTGCGCCTCCGGCAAAACGGGAACTGCTCGAGAAACAGCGGAAAGCGGTAGAAAACCATTTAACGATTCATATTCGCGTGTTTAGGCTCTAAAACCAGAGCGGCCGGCCGTTGATCGCGACAAAATTGCTCGATTCAAGGCTCAGAAAGGTTGGGATTATTTTTGGGGGCTTTTTAAAAGTTTCCATTTCAGAAGAAGACCGGATTCAGCGAGAGAAAGAAGCAAAGAAAGAGAAGGAAAGGCTGGCCGAGCTGAGATTGCAGGCAAATGGCGGAAAGGTGACGATTTAACGGGGTTTCATTGGCTAAATCGATATTAGGCAAACAAGAAGATTGCCCGGCATTTCGGCATCGACCCGGTGAATATGCAGATCAGATATGGGAACAGCCATGAACATATCGAGACACTGCAAAAGAGGAGGAGCAAAGAACAGGTATTTTCTGGTGTTTTCAATGCTTTTCAACCCTTTTTACAACCTGAATTTTCTTTTAGTCGAAAAAGGAGGCCGTAGAAACGTTTTGCGCAGAAAAATTGTGGTGCAAAACACGAATAATATTGAATATTCGTGCGAATTGCTAATTTGGCAATTTCAGGAGGAACAAGACATGCTGGCCGACAGTCTTCGCGGCGGTGTCCACAAGGCGTTGCAACTCAAGCAAAAGGTATCCCAAAAACACAAGCCCTACTGCCGGCGGGGTAGCAGATTTCGGGATCAATCATAAGCGCTCGAAAAGTCGGCCAGATCTGATCTCAGTTCTCTCGGCCTTTGAAATTGTGGTATTTTTGCGCCATTTGCCGGCTTTTGGAGGCTTTTCCGACAAACGCCTTTTAAAGGGCTAGTTCAGCCAATAAAACAAAAAAATTTCCGCGGCCAGGAGTCGAACCCTCTCTGCGTTTTTGTTTCTGCGCCTCTCTCATTTCCTCGATCTCTAATAGCTGTCGTAATGGGGACTGTTCGGGCGCACTGTGCCTACGTCCATAGTTTCCCAAGGTACCAGCCCAAGCTCTAAAAGTTGAACTAGCCCTTTAAGGACGATAAATTTTGAATTTTAAGCCTTTCTCAGCCGGTTGAGTCGCATTTTTGGGGGGAAAACGTGCAAGTTTTGCATGAAAAATCACGAAAATTGGCAAATTCTGCGAGCAAATATGTGTTCGCCTCGTCGAAAGCTTTCGTTTCATGCCAAGAACATCAAAAACGGACATTTCTCTGAACATTCTCAGGGGTTATTTTTGGGTGACACTTTTTTTTGAGGATTTCCTTTCTAGGCAGAACAATTGCGCGGTAAACTGCCAGCTGATGAGCATCGACGTGCCGGCACGAGCAAGGAGAACAGTCTGGCTGGAATGTCGTCTCGCCATCGCCATAGGTAGAGCGATTTTTTATTTATTTATTTTTTTAATTCCGTGATTTCCTCCTGGAAAGGCGCTGCGAGGTTTTTGCGCCGAAAAATCGGCCGGAAATGACTCGAATATGCATTAATAGTGTTTTTAGTGGCTTTAGCTTAGCTCTAGCTTTTAGAAGCTTACAAAAAATTAGATCTTTTTTTGAAAATTCGGAAATTTTTACGTTTTTCATACATTTTTCACCAAAAATCGTAAATTTTTGAATTTTTATAATTTTCCTAGCTTTTTATATCTGAAAACTGTGTAAAAACTGCTCGAGAAACAGCGGAAGGCGGTAGAATACCATTTAACGATCCATGTTCGCGTGTTTAGGCTCTAAAACCAGAGGGGCCGGCCGTTGATCGCGACAAAATTGCTCGATTCAAGGCTCAGAAAGGTTGGCATGGTTTTTGGGGTCGTTTTACGGGTTTTCTATTTAGAAGAAGACCGGTTTCAGCGAGAGAAAGAAGCAAAGAAAGAGAAGGAAAGGCTGGCCGAGTTGAGATTGCAGGCAAATGGGGGAAAGGTGACGATTTAACCGGGTTTGATTAGCTAAATTGATGTCAGGCGAACAAGAAGATTGCCCGGCATTTCGGCATCGACCCAGTGAATATGCAGATCAGATATGGGAATAGCCATGAACATATCGAGACGCTGCAAAAGAGGAGGAGCAAAGAACAGGTATTTTCTTGTGTTTTCAATGCGTTTAAATCCGTTTTAAAACCTGGATAGTCTTTTCGTGGCAAAACTGACACCCCTGCCCCAACACCATCTTTAGCCTCCAAAAATTTTACATTTTTTTTCTCTCTTCCTCTTTGCCCCTCCCACCTCCCGTCCACCCATCCATTCATCCCGAAAATCCTTCCTTCTTTTAAAGGGCTGCCGACGGCATGTGTCGATTCCCCCCCATCAACAAATTGGCAAGTAGCCAACAGGGCAGAGAGCGCGCCCTGGGGAGAGGCGCAGAGACATTTTCTTTCCAGCGCGTAACCGATTGACTATGCCGTCGGCATCCCTTTAAGCCCCACATTTTCTGTGACATTTTTCCCCTATACTGTGACTCATTGCATGTGCAATGGCGCCTCGTTGCGCAAATAAATAAATAAAAAATTCTATAAAAATCATTTATATTTCGTTATAGGGCCGTACGGGATTGCGGGGGAAAATTTGCCCTCCCCCCCGCCCGCTAACAGCCCAGCAGGGACGTAGCGTAATACCGGCCCCGGGGGCCCGCCCCCCGAAATCGGCCGGGGCCCGAAAATTTCATAAGGTTTCATAAGCCCTTATGATTTTTATTTTCTCAAAAATTTTGATGCCTGCGGCGCTATTTTTTTACGTTTTTACCGCTATTTGTAGAGCTATGGAATCTTGTTTTCAAAAATTTTTGCCTGCGACGCTGTTTTCTCGTTAATGTTTTGTTTTTCGGAAAAATTTTTTTGGGGTCCCCCCCGAAATTTTTTTCTAGCTACGCCCCTGCAGCCCAGTACCATTTTTTTTTGATATTTTTACCGCTGAATTCCGATTTTATTTTTCTTTCGTTCTGGGTTATTTCCCGTAAAAATTGACCGGAAAGGACTTGAATGCCTCTATTTTTGAAATTTCAGTCGTGATCACTTCTCGCCACCTCGCGATTCGAAGGGACAGCCGAACAAATTCGAGCTCAATTCAAAACGGCCCCCACCCCCGGCCGCCCTCGATTTTAGGTTGGTTTTTTTGCAAGAATTCGTATTTCCGATGCCCTAGCCTTTTTTGGCACTTTCTACGGCCTTATAAATATAGTTTGTGGCCTTTTTTGAAATGCATACATTCTAAAAAAACCATAATAGAAGTCGTAGAAATTGAAAATCGCGATAAAAATTTATTTTTTTGCGAAAAATTGCCGTTTTTTTGGCTGTTCGATTTGTCTAGCCGGTTTGTTTTTGTTTTAAGCTGTAAAAAAGGAAGTAAGGAATTTTAGAAATCATTTTAAGTAGGTTTTTCGTGAAAAAAACGGAAATAACGATTTTCGTTTCAGTCAATTGATGGCGATCGCTTCGGGAAAAGCCGCTGCCCCGCTCAGAATCAAAGAAGAGAAGCCATCCCTTCCGTCAGCTTCTAGCTTCCGCCCGGAAGTCAAGCCCTCGTCTTCGGCCTCTCACAAAATGCCCTCCACCCCGACATCCGCTTCTTCTTCTTCCCATCGCCCTCCCGATCACCCGAAGCCGCGAATGCCAAGGTGCGACTTTGGTCCATTTCAGCCATCCATTTTCTGGATTTTCTGCTGATTTCGAAGCTGCGAAGCCTTTCTCAGCTAGCCGAATTAAAACGAATTTGAGAGCATTTGTTTTGCCAACGGTTCAACAACGCCAAGCTCTGATTCCTGCCAAAAATCTGGCCAAATACTAAAATGTTGAAGGAAGGGGAAAGCTACCGACGAAACTGCCGCAAAAAAAACGATTTTTACGATTTAGCTATCTATCGAAAACCCTCGACGAGCTGAGCAGATATCTGCGCTCCAGTTTTGGAATTTCCCGAATTATTTTGCTCGTTTTTTGGCCTTTTCATCCGAAAGTAGATATGTTCTTTCCGTTTCTCGAAATTCCCGATTTTTTTGCGATTTTGGGCGTTTTTTATGTTAAAAACGTCACGTTTTTAAAAAGGCTTGTTTTAATCGATTTCATTTCGATTTCAGCGCGATCCCACAGCCCGGTTTTCTCAAATGGCTTCAAAAAAACTGTCGTTGGGCTATCGCAAAACGCGTGAAATTTTTTTGAGAAAAACTTTTGGTCGGAAGGGCTTGGAATTTCTGAAAATTTGGAAAGATTCGGGCCAGATTCCAAAAACTTGGAAAATTCGGACATTTTGGGTGCAAGTTCTGATTTTTCAGCAAAAGCGCAGAGGGGCATTCGTCTGGTCGAGATCGAGATCGTGCTCCTCTTCCGCCATCCAGGGAAAAGATTGAGCGTCATCGCGAGAGAATGGATATCGATCGGGAGCGGATCAACAATGAGAGACGGTGCGTTTATTCAAAACAAAATTCGAAATGTCGTTTCTTTTGCATTATCGGGGGGGGGAGGTGAAATTTTTTATGAGCCAATAAATGTCTGGTAATCTAATAAGAAGTGTTTTAATCGTGTTTTTGTAGTAAGTTACAAAAAATGTATGGAACGTGAAACTTTGATCAAAAATCGGGTACACATAGGATAACGGGGGAAATAACGGGGGCACTCAAACTTTTTATATGATAAAAGTATTTTTAAATAAGCTTTTTTCGGGCTGTAAAAAAACTCTTAGTATATTTTTCGGTCCTCTATCGAATGGCATTTTCAAAATTTCGAAACTATTCAAAACGCCGAAAATTTTTTTCCCCCCCTGTTATCCTATGTGCTGCCCATAGTTTTCAAAAATAGTTTTTAGGCTATAAAACTTTTATAATACATTTTTTCGCGTTGTAAAAAAATCTCTTAGTATATTTTTGGATGTTCTATCGATTCGCGTTTTCAAAATATCGAAAATCTCAAAAATTTGGCTTCCCCCCGTTATCCTATGTGCTGCCCATAGATTTTGCTCAATTTTTGTTTATTCAATAAAAAATTCCATTTACATTATTTCGGGCTGAAATTAATTTTCCTAGGGCAGTTTTCGACGCTTTATCGAATGACGTTTTCAAAATACCGAAAATTTCAAAAATTTCGAAAATTTGACTTTCCCCCCCGTTATCCTATGTGCTGCCCATAGATTTTCCTCAATTTTTGTTTATTCAATAAAAAATTTCTATTCCATTATTTCGGTTTCGGGCTGAAATTAATTCTCTTAGTATATTTTTCGACGCTCTATCGAATGGCACTCGCAAAATCCCTCAGTAATTGCAAATTTCATAATAATGAGTGCCCCCCCGTTATTTTATTCCCCCCGTTATCCTATGTGTACCAAAAATCGTACATCTGCGGTGTAAAAATCTATATTTTTAACATTTTCTATTCAAAATTTGTCAAATTTCCACGTTTAGGAATGGCAAAAAACCATTCGGAAACATGTCCGGTATTTATATCTGAAATAGTTGCCCCCCGATAATGCAAAAGAGCCGGAAATTTCGACTTTTACGTGTTTCATCGCGTAATCGATCAGCGATAATAATTGTTGGTATTTTCAGTGCCCCTCCCTCTGCCCCAGTGCCCCAAAAAGAGAAGCGGAAGCCGTTCACGAAAGGTCCGACGCCTCCTCCAATCATTCCACCAGCTGTACCCGGAAAGAAATATCTACCCGGTGATGACAGATATCAGGTAATACTACTCTCCGCTAAGTTTTTCCATAATTCTTGCAATTTTTCGGCATTTTCGCCTTCGAAAATACCGATTTTTGGAAAAATTTCGTATTTTTAGCCTTTTTGGCGTATAAGGTTTTATAGGGCTTACTAGCGACTTAAAAATATAGTTTGTAGCTTTTGTTGAAATACAAAATGCTAAAAAAACTATGATCAAATTCGCAGAAATTCCTAAAATAGCGATGAAAATTCATTTTTTTAACTAAAAACAATGGAATTTTTGAGCTATTTGTCTAATCTGTTTTTATTTGTTTAAGCTAAAAAATTGGTACTGGACTCTTAGCGGGGGGAACTAGAATTTTTCTGTCTACATCTAGGCCTACTTATCGACAATATAGAATATATTTTTTATAGTCTTTTTTACTTTTTCCTTGCTAGACAGGTAGAAGAATTTTTAATATTTTGAAAAATTGAAAATTTCTTACATTTTTTTGCGGTTTTTATGTTTAAAATTGTTAAACTTTAGACTATCAATTAAATGAAATATTTAATAATTTTTGCTTTAATTAATTTATATTGATATTCATTCATTTTATTTTGTAAAAAAAGTTAATCAAAATTTTCAGCCACCAGCCCCTGGAGAGCGTCGAAAAGATGGCGAAAAGGGGAACGGAAGCGGCAGCATGAGACGCGAGAAGACCTCCTCCTCCTCCTCCTCCTCATCAAAAGGAGCACCACGACAATCGGCTTCTTCCTCGGCTCCTCGTGCTCCCCATCATCAATCCAATCGACCGCCAATGAAGACGATGGGCGAACTGTTCAGCAACGGCGCCGCAGGTGAGCTCGATTCTTGGCCTTGCGCCATTTCATCGCGTAATCGATTGCGTTTTTGGGATTTCATGACGATTTCGAATGCGGTTCAAGAACTTTACAAGGGGAGGTTGTTTGGGTCAGGTGTCAAATCATTCTGAAAACTTGCCAGTTGATAGAGAATTGAAAACGGAACAAGGTGCGCTAAGTCGTTTTCTGCACAATACCCCTAATTAAAAAGTTATAAGCATTTTAAGTTGGTAGTCCTAAAATGAGTTCTGCGCAGGCTCTTGCACCAATACCGCACCGTTCCCACATTTTTTTCACCGGTGGTTTCTTGACCCTCTCTCGTCTCCACTCCCCCCACGTCTCTTGTAGCGCAATCGGTAGGGCGCTTGACTCACATTCTTTTGAAAATTTTTTGGCATAAGTTCGAGACTCGAACTTTTCTATCTTTTTGCTTTTTGCTCCTGCAAATTAGGGTTATTTGACGTAAAATCCAAAAAGCAAAAAGTTGGACGCATCAAAAATTTGAACTCGATTAGAAAAATTTAAAAAGTTTCGCACTCTACGGCACTACCTACTGCGCCAAACAGCTTGAAAAAGGGGGAGGCCACAATGAGGACCAGGTCAGAATTGTCGGGTCGTTTCGAGCTTTCGAACTTCAAAGACCTACAACTTTTTAATTTGGAGTATTGTGCAAAAAATGAGATTAAGAAACTCCACTTTATTTTTGATTTTCTATCCACTGGCAAAGTTTCAAGTCAATTTGACACCTGACTCAAACGACCTTCCCTTGTTAGTAGCGTAATCGATTGCAATATTGGGGATTTGATAGCGTAATCGGTTACAAAATAGATATTTTATGGCGTAACCGATTAAAAACTCGGGTGGCGTAATCGATTCCTAAAATATCAAATATCCGGCACCGATTGGCGGAACCATGAAGTAGGGTATTTTGAGTTTTACAAAATTTGGAGCTTTTGCATTATCGGGGGGGAGGGTAATTTTCCCCGTTCGTCCAATTTTTCTCATAAAAATTGAGGAAATATTTCTAACCTGTTTTGACCAGGGTTGTTCATCGCGTCCCCGGGCCAAAACTTTCGAAGCCTCTATCTCGGTGGGCAACGTACCTAGCGGGATAAAAATTTGTGGAGTTGTAGAGTAAAGCGAGAAGAACGTTCACGCAAAATTTCAAGGCGGTAACGGCTAAGGGACGCACGGGGACGCAGGGTGACGCAGGGGACGGGTGACAGCCCTGTCCCCCGTCCCTTGCGTCCCCCTACGTCCCCGGGCTTCTACATGCCGCTACGACTTTCAAATTTTGTGAGGACGTTCCTCTCCCTTTCCTCTACAACTTCACAAATTTTTATCCCGCTAGGTACGTTGCCCACCGAGATAGAGGCTTCGAAAGTTTTGGCCCGGGGACGCGATGAACAACCCTGGTTTTGACTATTTTCCAGCGTAAAAAATTCGAAATTTAGTAGAAAATAGATAAAATAGCTATTTTCGGTTCATTAGGATTTCCGGGGCGGGGAGGGGGAGGCAGGGGGAAACCAATTTTTTTTTCGGCACAAGCCTATTTTTTTTATAAATAGCGGACGAGTTTCTAAATGGTTTTTAACTATTGCTAGGAAAAGTACTAGACGAATTTTAATTAAAAAATTTAGCTTTAGTTCGAAAAATCCGAAAAAAGAGCCAACATGACCAAATTTCCGACTTTTTCCTACATTTTTCTAACTTTTCTTTGAAAGTTTTCCTACTTTAAATATAATGAAAATTTACTAAAAACAATGTGAAAACACTTTATATTTGATTGCTAGGTCAACCGGGACAGCCAGGAAAAAAAATTGGTTTCCCCCGGCGATCCTTCCCCCCCCCCCCCCACCCCGCCCCCGGAAATCCTAAAGAACCCTATTTTCGACCACAAAACTCCGAGTTTATAATTTTTCAAAACTTTCGAAGTTTTTTAGATGGTTTTTCCCCTTGAAAAATGCTTAAATTTGCAAAAAATGTCTTTAAACAAATTTTCCCATCAGATTTCTAGGAATTTCTGGAGTCGTAGAAAAAAATTGTCCCCCCCCCCCGGTACTGCATAAGCGCCAAAATGTCCCAATTTTTTTCAGGCCTTCCGATTACGGTGGCGGAAATATGCGCTCGAAGGAGACACAGATGATATTCGAGAAGAAGAGACGAGAGATGGAGAGAAAGAGGAGAGAGGCAGAGAAGCAGAGACAATTGGAGGGGATGAGTCTGTGGGTTATTGACGGAATTTTTAAATTGTTTGTACCATCCCGAAATGTAAAAACTTTACAAAGTTTGATGAAAAAATGCAAAGAATATCGTTTTTTCGACCAAAATTTCGCCTTTTTGAAAAAGGTTTTTCTAGTTGAATATAGTTTTATTTTGCTAAAAACATTATGAAAATACTTCCGATTAAGTTACTAGACATTCCTAGATTAATAAAAATTTTTTGCCTCCCCCGATAATGCATAAGAACCCTATAACGAAACATAAACCATTTTTATCAGATTTTGCGCTGTTTTTCGATCATAAACTCGTAAAAATTTTGGCGAAGTTTTGGCGAAAAATAGCCAACAAGGTCTAATATTTTGAATTTTAAATACTTTGAAAATGTCTGTTTTGCTTTTTAGCATCCAAAAACTACTAAAAACCCAATAAAAAAACTATAGATTTTTAATAGGCCGAAAAAATCTTACCTCCCCCTGCTAATAGTCCAGTACCGTCACATTCGGGATATCAAAATGCCCGAGTTGGATTTATCGAATTTTTTCCAACGTCGAAATCCATTTTTGATCGCAATTTCGATACCCGAATTCTCCGAAAAAATAAAAAGGCCGAAATTCAAAAATTAATTATAAAATTCGCGTTTTAAATAGCTGTTTTTTAGATTGGAGAGGGAGCGAATGAGAGACGCAGAGAAAAGGAGAGCCGAGCTCGGATTCTCGAGGGATGAGGTCGACGAATGGGAGGAGGAGCTCGAGGTATCCACTTTTACAGCGCGGGATCGATTAGACCCGTTTAATGGCTAGATTTTGTGGCGTAATCCATTAATCCGGGCCTGGATTCCAATAATTCGGCTTTTCTATGATTTTTTACATGGCCTAATCGATTAGCAAAGGCGAAAACGTTCTTTTCCAGCTAGAATAGATGGCGTAATGAATCGCGCGCACTGAATTTCGTGGCGTGATCGGTTATGGGATTTTAATTCGAAACCAGGGTGGAAAAGCCGCTTCGCGAATTTTCAACCCTGGCCCCATCTCGATCCCAAGATGTTCTTCACTGGCATAATCCCTCGCATTCTGATGACAAAAAAATGAAAAATCTTCCGCTGTCCGTTTATATAAGCTCACGTCACTTCCGGTGCATGCTAATTTTCTTTCGTAACAAAGAGGCTGCCCGAAAAATTTATAAAAACGGCGATTAATTGTTTAAAACAACAGATTTTGTAAATCTGAGAACCGTGCAGTCATACCAGAGCCATCACGCACCTAATGACGTATCATCCTACTATATATAAAAAAAATAGTGTTTGTGTGTGTGGGCAGGCCCGTAGGAGGGGGGGGGCCCAGGGGGCCCTGGGCCCCCCCCGAAATCGGTCGAGGTCTGAAAAATTCATAAGGGGGGACCCTTATGATTTTTAATTACAAAAATTTTTCTGCCTGCGGCGCTGTTTATTACTGTTTTTCAAACAGTTTTTACTTATATGAAGCCTATTTTTTCAATTTTTTTTGCCTGCGGCGCTGGTTTTTCATTGGTGAATCAATTGTCATAAAAAATTTTCGCCTGCGGCGCGTTTTCTGCCTTGTTTTCAGACGAATTTGAGTGTAGCGAACGCTTTTTTGCTATTTTTTTGCCTGCGGCGCTATTATTGACGCGATTTTTTGGATGTTTTAAAAGTGACGACCGGGGGGAGGTCGCCAAAATTTTTGGGCCCCCCCCGAAATTTCGGTTCCGCTACGGGCCTGTGTGTGGGTGTGTGACACTTTGCATGCAACTTCCGTCAGGGTGTCCGGAGGATATCTCTAGAGGGGGCAAATTTTAGGGCATGTATGATACGTCATTAGGTGCGTAATGAAGCCGAGATGACTGCACACACATCAAATGTTACAAAATCAGCTGTTTTCTACATTAAATTTAAGTTTTTGTAAAATTTTCGAGGACCCTCTTTGTTACCAAAAATTAGCATCCGCCGGAAGTGAGTTTTGCCTATATACAGGGTGGCTGATAAGTATCCGGAAAAAGTATAAGGTCCTGGTGTAAAAAGGAAAGCACGAATGTAATCAAAACGAATTATTTTATAACACGTAGAAGCTATATATTCGTCGCTGTAACAAATTTTTGAAGTGACATTTATCTGCTTTGATTTATGCTACAATTTATAGCTATCCTAAAATGGCTGTGCGCCGCGGGCAGTTGACGGCTATTTTGCTCAAAATCTTGTTAAAATCTTGGTGCAGGTTAACCATATTCTTGATGCTCTGGTTCCTTAACTCGTGTTTCTTGCATTCCCGCACAGAAAAATCCAGTGGATTACGATCTGGGCTTTTGGCAGGTCATATAACCTTCGTCATAAAAGCGTCGATTTTCGGGCGAAAATCACGAATTGTGGTTTTTGGGCCCTAGCCCCGAGCCCGATACTGTTGAAGGGCAATACACCGATTATTTCGATTACAAAGCATCACATCTTGCTCCAGAATATCATTTTGATAGAGGTTCATCTTCATTTTGGCGTTTTGATCGATGAAAACCTGTCGGAGACGCTAATTCCGCTTCTGACCATATAACTTTCTGGGATAAGCCTTTTTGTAGTAATTTTTAACTTCCTGGTATTCTTCAGACCCGGACTGACAAGTTATCGGGGTTTTTGAAAGTTTTCAGACACATTAACCCAGAAAATTTTCTTGTCTAAACATTGACTACCCCAGGAGCGGCGCACCTAAGCTTAAGCAAATGACGGCTAAAGACAGCTTGTTGGCGCTCCAATATTTCGTTGTCCTCCATCAACTCAATTTTAATCATGAAATATCAAAGTATATACAAGAACATCCACGATGGCTAGGAGAACAGAACATAAAACTCGATGGTTTTTTTGTTACGCGATGTCAAAGTTTTTCCGGATACTTATCAGCCACCCTGTAAAGGGACAGAGGGAGCGTTTTTCATTTTTTTTGCTCATCGGAATTCGGGGGCAATTATGCAAAGTGAAGAATAGTTTGGGATTAGACGGGGCCAGGGTTGGAAAGTCGCGTAGCGGCTTTTCAACCCTGGTACGTAGCTTAAAATTCCTCGCCTGCCGAGATATCCTCCGGACACCCTGACGGCAGTTGCATGCAAAGTGGCACACACACACAGACACTATTTTTATATATAGTGGGATAAAAACATTCGCAAATGTATTTGTTTGCAGTTTGAGGACGACTACGACTCTGAAATGGATGATTTCATCGACGATTCGGCGGCCGATGATGAACGGGCACTGAGGAGGGAACTCGACAGCGCTTGCCAGTACGTTTTTTTCTATGCCGAAAATCGACCCCGGGGCCGGCTATGGCTAGACATGTACGCGACGCGCCAAGTGACTCTGGGTTTCGTATTTTTTTGAATTACGGAAACAACCGCGCGTCACGGGAGCGATCGATATATTTGCCTTTCTCGGGCCTTTAGGATAAGATTTTCTCCATAAATAGATAGCGGAACTGTTTATTGGCTGTTTTTTTACTATTTTTAAACGTAAAATTTTGCAAATTTCCTTTAAAAAGTACAAAAAGATTGATTCTTCGGCGAAAAATGGGCGACTTTAGCAAAGCTTTTAATTTTGCAAGGATTTTTTCAAACTTTCTGAAGTGTTTTTGCACTTAAATAGTTAAATTTGATCAAAAACTATATTAAAGTGCTTTTCTCGTTTACTAGGCACAATTGGGGTTATACAGGGTGTCCCAAGCCCCCCCCCCCGCCTACCTAGCCGTCCGCAGTTGAGTCCGATCCAGTACTTACAAGGAGACGTTTTTTAGTGTGAATGGAGTTTTGAGACAAAACTAGGCCTATTTTGTGCAGAATTTTACGCTGATTCCGAATCTGTCTTCCATTTCTGCTAAATAGCTCGATTTAAAAAGTTACAGTTAATTTAAGGTCATTTTAGCCCAAATTTTCCCATCTTTAAGGCCCACTATGTTGCGTTTCTCGGCTGATTTTCCAAACATAAATATCGTCATCGTACTCAGAATTTTTTTGTCTATCAAATAGGCCCCCTAACTCAAATTTGTCAAAAAATCAAGATTTGACGGTACTTTCCTTGGTATGGACTCCGTTTTTTGTATGGGAAATGGTGAAAAACAGCCTATTTCTCACCCCTGTAAGCCATCGACGATCGGCAGTAGCGCACTAATGAAACATACCATTCGAATCAGAAAAAAAAATTCTCTACAAGGCAAGCTACTTAAAATAAATTAGAACATTAAAACAAAAAAAGTAGCGCATCATGGCAGATGGCTACTCTGTGCGTAAAAATGATCTTAAAATAGCTGTAACTTTTTAAAACGAGCTATTTAGTAGAAATGGAAAACAGTTTCGGAATCAGCGCAAAGTTCTGCACAAAATAGGCCTGGTTTTGTCTCAAAACTCGATTCACACCAAAAAACGTCTCCTTGTTAGGTATCTATCGGAAGCTCTCGAAAAGGCGATTAGACAATGAGGGGTCACTTTCGTTATTATGTGTTTTTATTCGCTAATTTTACGTCCAAAAACCATGAAAGCTGCTGATTTATGCTATCAGGTTGGTAGATAAGTCCTGTCACAATTTTTTGAAAGCCCTCTAGAAAGCCGCAGTAACGTCGGATTTTCATTTTCGATACATGATTTGATAGAGCTTGGGACGCGCTACTTGGGCAAAACCTGATTTGGTCCCCAAAGTGGCTCGCCGTCGAGTTACAGCTCCGGGAAGTTTTTGATAAAATCTTGAGAAAGCTATTTAGCGTGCTATCTCTGCATAGAGCCATTTGAATACGATCCCATTAACGCCAATCGATAGCTCTCGAGGAGTAGATATCGATAGATGTTGAGATCATCAAAATCGGATACCGGATGGCCGAGATACGGGCCCTTCAAATTTGGTTCATTTCTTAGAACTTTTTCCGAATTCCCATACATTTAGACAAAACATTCTCCGGGCGCTCAAAAATCAACTGGCAAAATTTGTCACAGATGCGTAAAATGTATGGGATTTCTGGAAAAGTTCTAAGAAACGGGCCAAATTCCATGTGGCCGTATCTCGGCCATCCGGTGTCCAATTTTGACGATCTCAACATCTATCGATATCTACTCCTCAAGAGCTATCGATTGGTGTTGAAGGTATCGCATGCAAATTTCTCTATGCAGAGATATCACGCTAAAAAGCTTTTTCAAGATTTTATGAAAGACTTCCCGGTGCTGTAACTCGGCGTCCCGTAACTTTTCGGCCTCGTGCGGCAGCTCCCATTATAGAGCAGCCCATGATCTATCAAATCAGTTATCAAACGTTAAAATCGGCCATGTCTGCGGCTATATAGAGAGATTTTAAAAAATTGTGACAGGACTTATCTACCAACCTGATAATTGAGAAATTGCTGTTGAAAAATTTCCAGTTTTTTCGAAAAACTTTAAATATCGATGGAATCAGATTAAATTTTAGAAAACGAAACCCGCTTGCCTTTTAAGAGCTTTCGATTGATAGCTAAATCGTAAAAATCGGATTCGACTGCGGACCGCTAGGTGGGGGGGGTTTGGGACACCCTGTAGGAACAATTCGCCGTCCCCCACCCCCGATATTGAAAAAGCTCCAGATTTCACCAACTTTTTGCAGGAGCATCAACAAGAACTACCACAAGAAGGATATGTGGAAGATTCGCGAGCGACTCATCAATGAAAGGGACATGGAGTCGAATTTTAAGCAGATCGATATGGTTCGTGTTTCTTTCTGGTTCTGGACTTTTAGCGGGGGGGTGCAAACTTTCCCCCCAGTAATTTTCTAAGCCCTAAAACGGAATTGAACCATTTTTTCGCAATTTACATAGTCTATACCTCTAAAAACCCATAAAAAAATTATAGAAATTTTCGATAAATTTTGATTTGATTTTGACTAGAAATCGTATAAAAATGAAAATCGTAAAAAGAACTAGAAGAACTAGAACGTTCTAGCATCAAAAATGATTAGAAACACTCGAAAAAGGAAAACCAAAGGTGTCCCCGTGTTAAAATCCTCCCCCGCTAACAGTCCAGAACCGTCTTTCTTTCACTCTCCCTCTGTCTCTCTATGCCCCTTTCTATCGTCCCCGTCATTCCAGGAAGAGCGTCGTTCCCGTCGTCAGGGTCTTCTGGAGGATATTCGTGAAGCGAAAAAGGGCAACAGTGAGGTCATCTGATTACGCTATTATATTCCGATGTGCCTTTTCCCCCTTTTATTGTGGGTCTATTTTTATTGTCTTTTTCATAGAGATGTCTCTATTCGAGTTTATATTGTTACTTGTTCATTTCTATCAACGATCCTCTTTGGTTGTGCTTTCTTCTAAGCTGTAGTGTTTTTTATATGTTGTTCCTTGTTCCGATCCTTGGCCTGTCCCCCAAGCGATCATCATCCAACTCGTGGCCGCGTTTTGTGAAAAGAAAAAAATGTTGTGATTATTTGAGGTAGTGGGAGAGAATAAACTGGCCTCAAGATTAATTAGCTACAGAAATTCCGTTAAGTTGCAGTGGAGTGGAACGAAAAGGGCGGTCGCTGCGTGAATAAGGAGACGTAAAGGGATCGAATCAGCGATTTGGTTTCCTATCGACGGTACCAATTTATTGAAAAAACACAGCAGGACGTGGAAAAAAAGGAACATCAAAACTACAAATTAATCACGAGACATCGATTCTGAAATAGCGAGAGTTGTAGCGATGATTTCTGGAGGAAAGATGTTCTGACGGCTGATCGATAGTCGGCGCCCGGCACTCGTTTCACAAATTCTTCCGTTGACACCCACGCAGGGCCGTACCTGGCCCGAAATTTCGGGGGGGGGGCAGGACCGAAAAAATTTTTGACGACCTCCCCCCCGGTCGACGCTTTTGTAAAATGGCGGAAAAACGGTGTAAAAACTCTAAAAACAGCGCCGCAGGCGAAATTTTTGCAAAATTGGTGGGAAAATGCACTTTTCAACCGAAATTGCGATTCAATGAATGAAAAAATGAGCGCCGCAGGCAAAAATTTTTGAAAAATGGTGTTTCTAACACTAAAAACCGACTTGCGAACAGCTATAAAAAGCGCCGCAGGCAGAAAAAATCCGGAAAAAGATCATAAGGGTCCCCCCTTATGAACTTTTTGGGCGATTGCGGGGCGGGGGGGCGGCTCGCCTGGGGCGGCCTGAGAGCGCCCCAGGCAGCAAACTTAGCGCCGATAAATTTACTGAAAAAACAGCGCCGCAGGCTGAAATTTTTGAAAAACGGTGCCTATAGGATAAAAAAAAATAGTCTTAGAGAGCGAGGAGAAAGGCGCCGCAGGCAGAACATTTTTTGAAAAAAACTGTGTCTATATTATAAAAATAAATAGCGTTTAAAAGCCATAAAAAGGCGCCGCAGGCAGAAAATTTTTTGCGAAAAAATCTAAAGGGCCTTATGCGCTTTCCGGGCTCCGTCGGTTTTGGGGGGAGGTTTATTTCTCCTCAATCTTTATTCTTGTCGAGGGTGTCGTGAACAGGCAAGCGCTCTGCCGCGCTAAGATACCGTTAGTAACCGGAATAAAGTGATTTAACAATACGGGTTTCTGCTTTACATTGCCCTGTATTCTCCCTACTCTGGGCTTTCTATCGCTATATCAATCATCCCGATCCGTTACTTCTCCATGGAGTTATCGCCGTATCATTATTGGCTATTTTGGGCCTTTCCTCCAAATATTAGCCCATTAATGATGCCAAAAATAATCTCCTAACAACACCCAACCCCATCTGCCACCCTAACATTAGTGCCAAAAAAATGCGGGAAAATTCAAACTTCTAGGTCCCCTGCCCCCTCCATGGGGGCAGCAAAAATGATGAAAAAAAAAAACATAAGGGTACTACCTTATGTACTTTTCGGCCCCCCCGAGGATTTCGGGGGGGGGCAGGCTGCCCCCCCTGCCCCCCCCCTCGTACGGGCCTGCACCCACGCGTATTCCGGAAAATGAAAAGGAACCAAGGTTCTTTTGCATTATCGGGGGGGGGGGGAGGTGTACAAGGCTAGAAATGCCTGGTAATTCAATAATTAGTATTTTAATAGTGTTTTTAGTCAGTAAAACTATATTTCAACGCGAAAATGATAGAAAAAGACTGAAAACAGGTTTGTTACGCGAAAAATAGTAAAACGCCGATATTTTGGGTTCTTTCCAATGAAAATGGTACGTTTACGTGGACGTTCCATAAATGGTACGTTTGAGGACCTTCCCGTGGATAAAATGCCCTGATTTTTCGGCACTAGGGGGAATCGACTTTTCTGTTTCCGATGGCATCCTCGGAATTTCGATAAAATACAAGTTTACCAAGTTAAAGTCGGTTTTATTCATTTCTGCGATCTGTTGGTGTCTTGTAAGCAGGGCATTCTTTCGTTAGATGACGTTCTTTTTCGCCGAGGATGCATCCTTTTGCTTGCTGCGTTTTCTGCGGTCTCTCTGTCTTATCTGTTTTCTCTCCCTTTCCTTTTGGTTTCTTTTTCTCGAATTTTCCTTCTCTAAAGTTCACAGCTGATCCCTGAAGCTAGATCTAACTATTCTTGTATCTGGACCAGTGATTCGATTGCATTTAGCAGCTGTCTACAGGGTGAGGCATATATATGGCAACACTTTCCCGGGTCTCTCAAACAATTAAGAAAGCTGGCTGTGCTTCAATAATTTGCTGAAATATGGCCACATGGTTCGGAAAAATCGTTTTGGGTACGAAAGATCCTAAAAACATGTGTACTACCTAGTAGTGACAGCTAAACGTAATGAAAACAATTCATTTCCTTTAAGTAGGCAGAAATTTTAGAATTGTTCTCGGCTGGTCCCAAAAATCATAGTAAAAAAAGCAAAATTCCCTTTTCTTGATCTTTACGCATTGAATTGCTTGGTTTCAACGCCCGAAATTGGTTCAACCCAATGCCTAAAATGTAAAAAATTGCTTAAATAAGACAATACAATTGGCAGGCATTTTATAATTAATTTTAAGTGGTCAACGTAAGGGTGGGAAGGGGTGGGTAAGCGCGCGTTTACTGCTATACGTTACTGCGACGTACCATTATACTTCTATGAAAAAAACCCGGTCCGAATGACTAAAAAATCCAAAAGGTAAAAAGATGGCACCGGGTGGGATCGAACCCGGGTCGATTTCCTGGTAGGGGGTTAAACCAAAAAAAGATCCAAATTTTGACTGAGATTATATAACAATGCCCAATAGGCTATTTGCGAGCGAGAAATATGCACAATAGCAGACAATTTCCGTCCAAAAACCTATTTTTTACTTCGACAAAATGTCGGGCCGGCCCGGCTTTTTTGAATTCGCGGCCCGGCCCGGAAAATGCCGATTTTTCTCGGCCCGGGCCGCGTTTTGTCCAGGCCTGGGGTGAACCATCGCTGATTCGACTCCCGCCCGCTGCAAAATTCGGTGCTTTTTTGCCAATGGCATCTTTCCAGGGGCCTGTAAAGATGCTGGGTATGAAGAATAAGCGCAAGTTACTTTCTACGATTTTTAACGACCTCCTACTCGTTAACAATTTTTGAACATTTTTGAAGAAGTAGAAAACTTCGAAGAGGAAATTTTGATGAGTTAGGGGGATATGTAGGGTAACAAAATGAAGCTCCCGGAGTGCGCTATCCAACGAATGGTCAGGATTTTTTATTGGTTTCACTAGCCGTCAATAGGAGCATTCGGAAGAACCAAACTTTTTGCCGAAAAAATTCAAAATAAAATTTATTGCTATCCGATCTGTCTGATATTTTGCATTTAGCCATCACCAGTGATTTAGTAACTTTTGGCATCAAGATTTTCAAAATCCCGAGCAAAAACTTCTTTGGCACTTTGCCAAGTCGGCCGAATTTGTAAATTTTACGCTAATACTTTTGAAATGTTAACATAGTTGTCTTTTGCAAACAGGATTACATCTAAAAATACAATAAATGACGGCGGCCATGTGCTTACTATGGTCAATTCGGAATCGCCACTTCTGGAAAAGTCCGGGTTTTCCGAATGCTCCTATTGACGGCTAGTTAAACCAATCAAAAATCCTGACCATTCGTCGGATTTTCCTCTTCAAAGTTTTCTACTTTTTCAAAAATATTCAAAAAATCTTAACGAATAGGGGTCGTCAAAAATCGAACGTGTAACGTGGTAACGCATTCAGGTTTCTGGTTTTAAATACTCCCCATAGCCGAAAGTTATTCGGGGACAAACTTGGGCACTTTTTGCCCCACCCTGTAATAAAACGGGAGCGGTAGACACGCAGAATACGATTGACGTGGTCAATGCCGTCTGTGCGCCCCCCGCCCGTGGCGGATCATATCATTCCCGAGCGGCGCCAATTTAAAAACGGAGGTCAATGCATAGTTGTGGCGACGGCCGCTATTTGCAATTGCGACTAGTTTAGTGCTGCCTCAATTGTCTCAGTCTGTATAAAGGGTGGCGATAAATTACCTGCGCGTAAGATAAGGCTCGTTCTGAATCTTGCGTGAGTAAAATTTCTAATCGTGATGCGTTCAGGCCCGTAGCGGAGTCGGAATTTCCGGGGGGGGGGGCAACAATTTTGGCGACCTCGACCGAAAAAAATCATAAGGGTCGCCCCTTATGAACTTTTCGGACCACGACTGATTTCGAGGGAGGGGGGCCCAGGGCCCCCTGCCCCCCTCCCACGGGCCTGGATGCGTTTAATGCTAGAGTAAGCTATACTGCTCACGAACTCATTTGGACCATGGGCCCTCGATTTTTCCAGCTAGAAAAAACTCGGCCGGCAAAATTGGGAGCGCGCGGTACGAAGTGACGAAAAGGGTCTAATAATTTCTGACTTTGTTCTCCTTAAATTATTGTTTGTTTGATGCTTCCGATGGTACACATAGGATAACGGGGGGGGATAAAATAACGGGGGGTGGAACTCATTATTATGAAATTTGCAATTACTGTGGGATTTTGCGAGTGCCATTCGATAGAGCGTCGAAAAATATACTAAGAGAATTAATTTCAGCCCAAAATAATGTAATGGAATTTTTTATTGAATAAACAAAAATTGAGCAAAATCTATGGGCAGCACATATTAGGTTGGTCGGAAAGTGGCTAGAACTTTTTTCACAATTTTCCATAGATATTCTCGAAGTCAATCTAAAGCCTAATAGTGGTCCAACTATTTGATGTGTAATCTCCTTTCCTTATTTACGAATGCAGCGAAACGGGATACAACGCCCTTACAAAATAGATATGATTGATTTAACGAAATTTGAGTAAAACAGCAATATCTATGCATTCACAGTACCGAATACGGCGCTTTTTTGTGTGCATGTGTGCAACATCATTTGGCATCTACTGACACTAAACAGCAAAAAAATCTCATGGCAAACTGAGAAGAAAAACCCGATTATCAAAAGTCCTCGGGGTCAAAATTTTCTGGCCCGATGCAAAGAAAGCCAAAAACAAAAATATTGGCCGGAGGAAAATTTTTGGTTTCTTTACTGAATATGGCACTAACCTTGACGCCTTTGGGAATATAAATCTTGGTTACGCGAAGCCGCTCGTTTTTGCAAAAGAATTCGCTAAAGTTACATTCTAGTTACTTTCCGACCAACCTAATAGGATAACGGGGGAAGCCAAATTTTTGAGATTTTCGATATTTTGAAAACGCGAATCGATAGAACATCAAAAAATATACTAAGAGATTTTTTTACAACGCGAAAAAATGTATTATAAAAGTTTTATAGCCTAAAAACTATTTCTGAAAAGTATGGGCAGCACATAGGATAACGGGGAGGGGGGGAATTTTCGGCGTTTTGAATATTTTCGATATTTTGAAAATGCCATTCGATAGAGGACCGAAAAATATACTAAGAGTTTTTTTACAGCCCGAAAAAAAGCATATTTAAAAATACTTTTATCATATAGAAAGTTTGAGTGCCCCCCCCCCCCCGTTATCCTAGTATGTGTACCCTTCCGATTACCCTACAGATGCTCATAACCGGTAAAATGCATTTGGATTGAATCCTAGTCCTACGCAATAGTAAAAATCTGCGGTCAATTTTGGCCGAAGCCGAATCACCTAGCACGGGACTCTTCAACCTAAAAATATTTTTTGAGAAAAGTGTTATTTCCTTGATTCGCGGGGGGAACCCACTTTTTTCTGTTGGCCCTGGTGGCAGGGCCGTAGCTGACCCAAAATTTCGGGGGGGGCGGCAAGGGTTTCGGGGGGGGCGGCGGTTCAAAAACATCTGCCGTTTACCGCCCTTTTTCAAAAATTTTCAAAAATGATAAGGGTCCCCCCTTATCATTTTTTCGCCATCTGCAGATTTCGGGGGGCGGCATGCCCCCCCCCCTCCTACGGGCCTGCCTGGTGGGCATAGTAATCAAATATAAAGTGTTTTCACATTGTTTTTTAGCAAAATTTAAACCTATTTTACAAGGAAAAACTTTTTTAAAAGTTAGAAATACGCTTGAAAAAGTCAAAAATTTTGTCATTTTTGGGTTGAAACAATTGATTTTTCGACCTAAAATTGAATTTTTAATTAAATTTTCTAAAGTTTGTATGCTTAGGAATAGCTATAAACAATTTAGAAACACTTCCACTATTTATATAAAAAATCTAGGCTTGAGCGGAAAAAAGTTCGGTTCCCCCCGCGAATTCTTTCCCCCCGGGAATACTCAAGAACCAGCTACAGTAGTAGGCTTCAAAAGTGTAGCAAAAGGATCAGGCGCCGTGTCGCCACCCGAAATTCGTGTTTCTTGGATCTCAGTTTTTCGCGATCGCTCAAAAAGGAAATATTTCGAAAAGCGAAAACTGAGGAACAACCAATAAAGTATACATGGGTCGACGCGTGCATGCGCCGCATAAGCGTGACTGCCCACGCTTGTCACCACTGTCCGATTTTCCATGAAAAACTTAATTTTAATGTCGAAAACATCATATTTTGTAAAATCTAATATGCGTGCAGCCATCTCCAGCCCATTACGCACCTAATGACGTATCGAACATCCCCCGAAGTACTTCCCTTCTTGAGATACTACTGGAACACGGTGTCGGAAGTTGCATGCAAATGGACACACACACACAGACACTATTTTTTTATATATAGTAGTAGGATATAAATTTCTAATGTGCGTCTGCCCGTCCGTACACGAATTCACCTAAACTTTGCATTCAAATTCAAAATTCAAATTTCTGGGGGTAGGAGGGCCAGCGCTGCCCCCGCGTAGCGGTGGGTCAGCGCTGGTATGCAAAAAATTTGGCGCCCGATTTTCGGGTTAAAAGCGGGGCGCAGGTAATTAATTGCCACCCTGTAGGCATTAATTTATAGGTAAAATGTTTCCCGTAGATGGGCTATGTAATCAGCTTTTCTCTCAGCTACTCGATCAACTATCATTCAGCGATTATCTCATTTTACGGCATGTCAATCGACGATTCAGGTATCCTACTATCCCACTATATATAAAAACCAATGGAAAACGACCGCTTCGCGGATCTTTTCCACTGGGCTCCGTCTAGAAACCGTGAATTTCAGAAATAATATTTAGCCTACGGCGCATGGGCCTGAATTAGCCCCCTGATACCCTGGGGGGCGGGGTGGGAGGGGGGGGGGCGAGTGGCAAAGCAATGAACGGCGCCAAATACCTGAGTTATTAGGCCTTCAGTTCCCTCTACAAAATTGCATTTTTGAACTTGAAGTCGTCCGATATTTGTAAATCTAATACCATGCGTGATCCCCTCTATCTAATGCCTAACTGGAAAGTCTTTTTACTCAACTTGGAGTTTCGTTTCGGGATCAAGTGCATCTTGTGCAGAATTTTTCGCTGATTCCGAGTTCGTTTTCCAAATTTGCTACGGACTTTTATTTAAAAAGTAATTTTTGGTGGAAATTAAGCTAAAAAAAGCCAAAAGTTAGGATTCTGGCCCACTATTCCCTCCTTGGTCCTAGGACTCCCAGGTGCCCTGAAGTAGGCTCTCACAGTCCATTGCCCGGTTGGCACCATTGTGCATGTGGCAAAGTCCTCGCTTGCCCAGCGCAGGGAGGCGGTTCGATCCCCCGCCCTGCCACAACCTTTTGCTTTTTGCCTAAACCTTAAAAACAACCAACCTTAAAATTTGGAAATGGATTCGGAATCAGCGAAAAATTCTGCACAAGATGCACTTGGTCCCGAAACGAAACTCCAAGTTGAGTACAAACACTTTACAGTAAGTGGTCCAAATTTCAGGAACCCTGGACCCCGTCCAGGAACCATCAATTTGAATACTTCTTTTTTTTTGTTTAGCCTGCCAGGGTTGCGCTAGAATTGCGCTTCGCGACTTTTTAACCCTGGCCCCGTCTAACTTGATGAAATTCTTCACTCTGCATACGTCTCTCGAATTCCTATGGGGGGGGGGGATGAGGAATTCCACTCTCTCATGTTATATATAGGCTTCCGCCACTTCCGGCGTATGCTAATTATTTCCTAACAAAGAAGGCTGCCGGATTTTTCAACAAAAACTCAATTTTAATATCGAAAATAGCATAATTTGCAAAATCTGATATGCGTGCAGTCATCTCGGGGACGTTACGCACCTAATGACGTATCATACGTAGCGTAACGCCCTTCCCCTCTTGAGATATCCTCCGGACACGGTGACGGAAGTTGCATTCAAATGCACACACACACACACACACACACACACAGGAACTATTTTTTTATATATAGTAGGATCGGCGGATTGGATTTGGAATCCAGTGGACGAGTTCAAACCAAATCCTGAGGATTTGATTAAGCTTCCGGTCCTTAATCAAATCTTATGGAATTTTTGGCATGCAAAACACAAGAAAATCGCTATGGCCGAGCTGCGGCGAACCGGAAATAACCTTGATTATGCATGCAATCATAAAATTAGCATCCGCGTAATCGGCTATTGATTTTTTTCGACTCCTTTCAAATCCTCTTCAAATCTTCAGATTTGAACTCAAACCACGAAAGTCCAAATCAAATCGATTTGGTTTGAAGTGCTGAAACCTTATTCAAACCAAAGCGGCAGATTTGGTTAGGCGGATGCAAATTAGATTTGAGATTTGAATAATACCATCACTAGTTGCGCGTGATCCCCACTATCGCATACATAACTGATCCAAATTATAGCCCGAAATTCCATCGGGGCTTCGAGTTATGCCCCGGACACCATGGCTCGCAGCCCACTTTGTTAAGAACTCGGCTTCACACACACACACGGACGGACGGACAGACCACAACCTTTTTATTAAAGTTGATAGGTATTGTTAATTTAAGAATTATAGAAAAGCCATTGATCGTCGATATATGATGCCGAAAAGGATAGAATATGCCGCGTGTTTCGGCAGAACAATCGAAGAAAAACAAGAAGAAGATGGCCAGCCCTCGACAGATCCATCCCAACAAGTTTGTTTCTTTTGAAACTTTTCGTTTCCTTTTCTTCTGCTTGCAATTGTATCTGCAGATTGTCGTGAGAGATGCTTCGCTGAGATTCGTCTCCTACGACGATAGGTACCAAATCGTGGTGGAGAGTCAGACTCAGTCTCTATTTGTTGTGCCCGACTACAGTGACACTTTAACCAGGTATGGCGCTGGTTCTTTAGAAGTAATAAATTTAAATACAAGAAATTGCAATTATCCTGCATTTCTGAAATACCAAAAAGCAAAAACTTAAATTCGACCCGGATCCGAACTCACGACCACACGCCTGGTGGACCTGGCGCATATCCACTACGCCTCAGGCTAGATCTTCAATGGCTGTGGGAAAGGCCTCTTCTGTCCTGGGTTGAAGGGGGGGGGAAGGGCGGTTAATGACCCCCGGGAGGGCGGGCCTCTGGTCACTTAACAAAATTTGATTTTTTTAGTCTGAATCAGCTAAAATTTGTAAAGATAATAAGATGCGCGTGATCCCCCAGCCTTCATTGCATACATGGCTCAAATCTCAGCCTGAAATTCCATCTGGGTCTCGAGTTATGCCCCGGACACCACAGCACATCGGCCATTTTGTTAGTCATTTTAGAAAAATGGCCATAAAAACTTTATTTTACAAAATCCGACAAAACGCAAGATTATATATCGGGAGAAATCTTTTTCCAGTTCGCCCTCCAAAAATAGGGCTGAATTCCGTTTGGATTGCGAGATATCCTCTGTACAAACCTTTTTTGGCCAAAATGTTAAAAGGCCGTTTGCGAGAGACCCGAACAATGCTTAGCACTAGACCTCCCGAACCCCCCCCCCCCCCCCATTTACCCCCATACTTGTGGGGGTTGGATGGGGGTCCTAGGGGGGTTACGAGGGGGGTAGGGTGGGGGTTGGGCGGGGTGTTCGAATGGGGGTTTTCAGGGGTGTTGAAAAGGGGGGTCTGGATGGGGGTTTTGGGGGGGCCAAGGGGGGGTCTCGGAGGGTTCGATGGAGGGTTTGGTGAGCATATCAAATTGCGAACATTTTTTGTATTCCATGACATTGTTTACGCATCGCATTTTTTGTTTTTCAGATGTTTCGAGCAGTTCGCACAACTCGGCGCCAATCCGATTGCAACTCAGTTGGGGGTCGTCTGGTAGCATTTCTTCGAGGTTGTTGAACACGACGGACGATTTCGAGACGTTTTTTTTCTAACCGCGCTAGCAGCGTAAAAAAAGCTTGATAGAAATGCTTCAAGCCGTTGAGAAGGTTGCATTTTGAACGCTCTTTCAAACGGTATACTTACCGTTCTCCAACACCGTCGGAGGAGAGAGAGAGGGGAGCGTTTTAGTGCCGATAGGTGTACCTGTCGAAGTTGTCGCCGCACTAAAACCATCATATCTCGATCTGCACTGGGACTCCTGGATCGAGAAGAGCATCAGTCGAAAGAGCGCGAAAAGTTCTATCTGCCCAACGAGTTTCAGCTCTTTAGCAGCTTTGCCCAGCCTGCTAGCGCGGTTAGAAAAAAAACGTCCCGAAATCGTCCGCCGTGTTTAACAACCTCGAAGAAATGCTACCAAACGACCCCCAAATGAGTTGTAATCGGATTGGCGCCGAGTTGTGCGAACTGCTCGAAGATGATGTTCATCTTTCATTTAGTAGTAGTTTTAGTAAAACCGGACCGGGCAAATTGCCCAATACTACTTGCGGGGGCAACGGGTGGGGGTTTGGGGGGTTCTGTTGGGGGCCGAAGGGGGTATGTATGGGGGCCGGGTGGGGGTCGGGTGGGGGGTCCATTGGGGGTTGGCAGGGGTGTCTGTTGGGGGGTTTTGGTGGGTGTTGCGATGGGGGTCAAAATGGGGGTCTTTGGGGGTAAATGGAGGGGGGTTCGGGAGGTCTACTTAGCACAGGTTTTTTCGACCCCATTTTTATGACGTCATCTGAAAGAGCGTGGTCGAATTAGTAGGGTGGTATGGTTTTGGAAGTTTAAAAAGTTTAATTTTGGTGTTAAAATAGGCCTCAAAGCTGCCACCTTCGAAAAACTAACTTGAAAACGACTGACCCAAACAGGCCGAAAATTTGTGTCAATACCTAATTTGGCGTGGGGATCATTTCTCTAATACATTTTGAAGCATTTGAACCATGAAAAACATAAGGGGGGACCCTTATGTTTTTTTCGGGCAGGCGGGATTTCGGGGGGGGCAGGCTGCCCCCCCTTCTACGCGCCTGGACACCCTGTATTTTAATGCAAGGAAATTTGGGCGAATGCCTTCTTTACTAAACTCCTGTTCAGGTTCTCGTTTTTTTCAGGCGATATCCGATTAATTTCAATGGATTTATGGCCACTCTTGCTCGTCTCAGCCTTTCTATCCACGCTCTGCATGTTAGATTCGGGCCGAATATCACGGTCAGTCACATACAGGCCCGTAGCGGAGCCGATATTTCGGGGGGGGCAAAATTTGGCGCCCTCCCCCAAAAAAAAAAAAATTAGCAAAAAGGCGTTCGCTACACTGAAATTCGCGTAAAAAACAAGCCTAAAACGCGCCGCAGGCGAAAAATTTAGAAAAATAGACTTGATATAAGTCAAAACACTGTTTTACAAATAGTAATCAAACAGCGCGCAGGCAGAAAAATTTTTATGAAAAAAATCACAAGGGTCCCCCCTTCTGAACTTTTCCGACCCCGACCGATTTCGGGAGGGGGGGGCCAGGGCTCCCTGCCCCCCCCCTACGGGCCTGGTCACATATAACAAAATCAGAAGAAACCCACCGAAAACTGGTGAATTACAGGCGCTCGAAAGACGGTATGGTGCGAAGATACCGAAGATTGAAGTAGTCGATGCTGCATCTGAGGTATTTCTACACCCTTTCGAACCTAAAAACGCATCGAAGGGAAACGAGATAACGATCAAGTTTAGATCAGCGGTTTCCTCCGCTCGCTGAGGGCGGCGAGAAAGTTTGATGTTGAAGTGGAGACGGAGGAAATCTTTCGAAAAGTGGCCAACAACTATCGAGGAGAATGCCATAAATGGTCCATTGTTTTGGATGTACGCCAGTTTACACTGTACATTTCAGCTAATCTCAGTCAAAATGATTTGCTTTCAATGTGCCATCTTTTTCAGAAACCACTCGTCGGCCGCTGTCGACAATGTCAAGTGGTAAATTTTGCTGTGGTGTCCGTCCGTCCGTCCGTCTCAAGCCGAATTCAACTCGAAGGGGAAATGAGCTAGAGCTTAGCTTAGCTCTCTTCGGATTCGGATAGAGCGTAGTCAGAAACCCCCAACGTGAAAAAAATTGCGAAAAAGTTTTGGTTTAAATTATTAAATTTAACTTTGAAAGTTTTTCCTTAGTAAAAGGAGTGAGGGACGGGGGTTGGGGTGATTTTGGATATAGTGAGCCAGGTGGCGCGCGTTTCGTGGAGGAAAATTTTCGCCGGAGCCATTTAATTTCTTTTTTTCTCTCATTTCATCCTGTCGGTCGGTAATTTTGTTTTTTAAGGGGATTTCGCTTAGGGGAGGTATCTAAAGCCATCCGGAAGGTGTTTAAGTAGTTGTTCAGGGGATTTCGGCTATGGGAGCCATCTCTAGCCATTAGCGTGGGTATTGATAGAGCCTAGGGATAGATCTGATGATGTATTACGTGAAGGGTAGCCCGAAGGCCAAATGGTATCGTATTGTCCATCCCAGCCAAAATTCAATGATTTTCAGCGATACGGCTCAGAAATCCCATGGAAATGCGAAGAATGCAAAGAATTCTGGAAGGAAGGATGGGTCAGGAATTGGCGAAAGTGGGGTGAGAGCATTCATAGAATCGAACAAGACGAAAATTGTTTCTCAGGAGGAAAATGGCCAGAAATAACAATGACTTCTAATTACGGGGAATATCCATCCATCCACTATGACTCTTTTACATCCTTTTTCGATGTAGGTTATCGATTTTCGCTATATTTCCATTTAGAGTTGTTATCTGGCGTCCGGGATCCGGGTATCCGGTTGCGGACCCCGTCGACCAATTACTCGGTTTGAGCGGGTAATTGGCCGACCGGGTTCCAGCGGGTTCGACCGGGTACCCGACTACCGGGTCCAAATAAAACCCTTATTACCCGGCCGATTACCCGGTTGAACCGGGTACCCGCTCGACCGGTTACCCGATCGGATACGGACGTACTATCAGGTTGGAACGAAAGTTCTGTCGCCGTGATTTTGAGAGGCTGGCTAGAATCGTCGATAGCTCCATTCTGGACATGTGATATGTCATTTTGTAGCTCTCGACCTGAATCGTTTCGGGAGGTGGGTCCTGGACCGCGAAAATCAAGGAGAGCCGAGACACAGGCTCTAGAAGTTTTTCCCAAAATTACCAAAAAGTATTTTTGCAAGTTATCTCTGCAGAGGGTCACTTCCATGCGACCTTTAACGACAATCGATAGTCCTTGAGAAGTAGTTATCGATATATGTTGAGCTCATCAAAATTTGGCCCATTTTTTAGAAATTTTTCGGATTTTTCATGCATTTCCAAACATTTGACAGACAGATGCCGAAAATTGCCCCTTTATTTTTGGCACCGCCGATTTTCGAAAAAATATCTGGGAAATCGGGAAAAGCTCTAAGAAATGGGCCAAATTTCAAGGGGCCATATCTCGGCCATCCAGTGTTGAATTTTGACGATCTCAACGGCTATCGATATCTACTTCTCGAGGGCTATCGATTGGTGTTAAAGGTATCGCATTCAAATTGATCTATACAGGGATAACTTGCAAAAACACTTTTTAATACTTTTGTGAAAAACTTCTAGAGCCTGTATCTCGGCCGTTTTTAATTTTGAAGGCCCAGGACTCTTCTCCCGAAACGATTCAGGTCGAGAGCTACAAAATGACAGATCGAATGTCCAGAATGGAGCTATCTACGATTTTAGCCAGCCTCCCAAGTGATGAGGCCTTGTCCAGTTTTTTACGCTCATTTCGCATCTGGAGACCTCATAAAATGAGCATTCATTTTCAGCTGGCAATTTGCCCATCTCGGCCACAACAATCGGGATATTTACATGAAATGTGGATTTATGAGAAGATTGGCCAGATATTCGATATTCCATTCTTTCTGGTAGACTACAACACACTCCACCTGTCAGTTACCGTATTTAGCAAAACTACGAAAGACGCCTTCGAACACTTCATAATGGAATGATGACATTTCTTGATGATACGGATGCTGATGCAGAATTATTGACGAAATGGATGGTAGGATGACCTAGCACATCTTATTTAGAACCAGCGCCCAAAACCCGCTTCGCGGGCCCTGGGCGCTGGATTGCGGCCTCTGGATGAGAAATTTGACTCTCCGATAGCTCGGGTCCTGCGGAGGCTCCTCTCCCTAAGAAACAGAAGGGTTGATTCCCCCAAGTGACGAAGAATTGAGGCATTTTGGACACGGGAAGGCCCTAAAATCTGGGCTCGTACCAAAGTCGATTTAGCCCCCCCTTAGATGATCTAAACCCCCCCTTTAGATGATCTAAGGGCCCCTTTACGGCCCAAATGGTTTGGACCGTAGCGCGGAGCCTTCTGAGCGATTTTTTTTTGGAACTGGGTTTTCTGGAACATAAAAACCGCCTCTATCCGATGGCGCTTTCAAAACAGCAGCGCTGTGGATAGATTTTGCGCTGACACGCTGGGAAAATCTAAGGGGGCCACTAGATGATCTAGTACCCCCCTTAGACGATCTAGTAAGAGTATTAGATGATCTAAAACCCCCCTGTTAGATACAAGCGGTCAAAAGGGGGGGTTAGAAACCAAAATTTCGAATCAATTTAAAGAAAAAGCTAAAGATTTTAGGGTTTTCGACAAATGCCTATCCGATGAAAAGAAATACGGAGAATTCGATGTCATTGACCCCGAAAGCCAATTTTGGCCGAAGCTTCCGATAATGCCCGGAAAGCAATCTAAGCCCCCCTTTAGACGATCTAAAAGAAAAAACTATACTTAGATCATCTAAGGGGGGCTTGGACTATTTTGACGACCTTTTGGTGTAACTTTTCGATGTCAAAAATGGTTTTCGGGCTTTAACAAGGTGTCATGCATGTCAGATAGATAGTTTGGTATATCATAGGTCATATTTGAAGTTTTTCATCATTTTCATCCCCATCCCAAACTTTTGGATCGCGGTTCCCATACGTGCTAGTCGGTTTTGAAACATTCCAAAAGGTCCGCTATAGTCTCATTAGCCAGATGACATTGCGTTTGAGTAAAAATGACAAGAAATCAAATGATTGAGCACGAATAGTTGAAAAGCCGACTGGGTAGTTTTCTTAGCGTTTAGCCTTGTGCTCGCAAGGTCCGGGTTCGAATCCCGCCCGCGACATAACTTTTTGCTTTTTCATCAAAAGCTTGGAGTTGAATCTCTCTTTAACGGGAAGAAACCTTTCAGCATTTAAAGAGGGTTAGATTCAACTAGGCGGGCATAAATCGTCGAAAAAAGAGTGAAAAGGGCATCTAAGGGGGTACTGGATCATCTAACGGGGGGGGGGGGTTAGATCATCTAGTACCCCCCTTAGATTGGATCTAACCCCCCCTTACATAGGGGGGTTAGATCGACTTTGGTACCAGCCCAGGCCTTGAAACTGACATCCACACACACACACACACACACACACACACACACACACACACACACACACACACACACACACACACACACACACACACACACACACACACACACACACACACACACACACACACACACACACACACACACACACACACACACACACACACACACACACACACACACACACACACACACACACACACACACACACACACACACACACACACACACACACACACACACACACACACACACACACACACACACACACACACACACACACACACACACACACACACACACACACACACACACACACACACACACACACACACACACACACACACACACACACACACACACACACACACACACACACACACACACACACACACACACACACACACACACACACACACACACACACACACACACACACACACACACACACACACACACACACACACACACACACACACACACACACACACACACACACACACACACACACACACACACACACACACACACACACACACACACACACACACACACACACACACACACACACACACACACACACACACACACACACACACACACACACACACACACACACACACACACACACACACACACACACACACACACACACACACACACACACACACACACACACACACACACACACACACACACACACACACACACACACACACACACACACACACACACACACACACACACACACACACACACACACACACACACACACACACACACACACACACACACACACACACACACACACACACACACACACACACACACACACACACACACACACACACACACACACACACACACACACACACACACACACACACACACACACACACACACACACACACACACACACACACACACACACACACACACACACACACACACACACACACACACACACACACACACACACACACACACACACACACACACACACACACACACACACACACACACACACACACACACACACACACACACACACACACACACACACACACACACACACACACACACACACACACACACACACACACACACACACACACACACACACACACACACACACACACACACACACACACACACACACACACACACACACACACACACACACACACACACACACACACACACACACACACACACACACACACACACACACACACACACACACACACACACACACACACACACACACACACACACACACACACACACACACACACACACACACACACACACACACACACACACACACACACACACACACACACACACACACACACACACACACACACACACACACACACACACACACACACACACACACACACACACACACACACACACACACACACACACACACACACACACACACACACACACACACACACACACACACACACACACACACACACACACACACACACACACACACACACACACACACACACACACACACACACACACACACACACACACACACACACACACACACACACACACACACACACACACACACACACACACACACACACACACACACACACACACACACACACACACACACACGAATAGTCGATTTGGCGTTATTATACAGCCTCAATAAAAATTTGGTCCTTTTCTTGACTAAGTCCCTACCAGGAAATCGGTCCAGGTTCGACCCCGCCCGGCGTCTTTTTTTGCTTTTTGAATTTTTATGTCAGCGCGACCGGATTTTTTCTTAGATGTATCAGTATATATCGTAGTACTAAACTAAGACCAAAATATATATTAATAAGGCGAATTTAAACTCGAAATGGCTTAATTGAACATTATTGCCCTGATATTGGTCGATATTTAGCTCTTAAAAATTGTTATAACTTTGAAATTTAATTTTTTTTAACAGAAGTGCTGCAAAAATGGTCCACTAATACCGTATTAACAGCAAAATACCTTGCAATGGTGTTAAACCAGCTTGGCGGGAGTTTTTTGGCCAACCCCCTATTTGACCCTTAAAAGTCGGGCCCGGGCCGAGAAAAATCGCCTCGGGCCGGGCCGGGCCGGGCCGGCGAAATCGGGCTGGCGAGCCGGGCCGGGCCGGCCCGGCCCGCAAAATTCCCAGGCCTGTAAGGTAGGATGTTTTGCTGATTGTGAATCTGTTTTCAAAAACAGCAAAATCAACTTAAAGGGGGGGGGGTGTTTGTTATTGGGACACCCTGTAAGTGCTTCAGAACTTTTGAGTTCGAGCTATTTTGCAGTTTTTGAGAACAGGTTTGAAATCAGCAAAAAATTCTGCACAAGATAGGCTTGGTCCCAGATCGGAACCCCACCGTCACTTTAGAAGGTTCGCTTGTAGGGGGAAGTTTCATTCCCCTCATTTTCCTCTCTTTATTCTCACAAGGAGTGTCCTTATGGTGTCATCGGCAAAACGATTGGAGACCCAGCTCATTCGATAGAGAATTGAATTCTGAACAAGACTGTGTTGTTCATTTTGCGGAATGGCTGTCCCAGATTTTATAAAATTAAAAAACTGCCGGCGTCGCCCATACATTGGTGCTTGGGGAGCGAGTTGTTAAGGTTTCGCGCTTGGTTTTTTTAGTTCTATAAAATCAGTGACAGCTATTCCGCAAAAATGAACAACACAGTCTTGTTCAGAATTCAATTCTCTATCGAATTAGCTGGGTCTCCAATCGTTTTGCCGAGGACACCAAAAGGGCACTCCTTGTCAGATTAAAATATTGCCCCCCACTTTAGCCAGACGAGGATGAGTGTGAGCGGCAGCTTGTTTCAAAGCTGCAAAGATTCCGAATTGAAGTTTATGGGAAAGGTAAGTGGGCAGCAGAAAGCAAAATTAATATTAATAATATTTTACTGGTTTTCAATTGGGCAAAACATCATCCCTATCCCAGTACAACATTTCAGTTTTCCTCTGCGCCATTTTCAAGTCCACATTTTCTGATGAGCAGATCTACTTGTCAATTTTCGACAAATGATGCGATATTGACCTCAATGCCTAATGTTTCAAGTGTAATTCGCGTCAAATGGCCCAAGATTGCACGCAATTTCGGTTCTTTAGGATTTCCGGGGGGGGGGGGGGGGAGGCAGGGGGAAACCAAATTTTTTTCGGCATAAGCCTAAATTTTTTATAAATAGCGGATGCGTTTCTAAATGGTTTTTAACTATGCCTAGGCAAAAGAACTAGACGAATTTTAATTAAAAAATTTAGCTTTAGTTTGAAAAATCCGAAAAATTTCCCAAAGTGACCAAATTTTGACAAATTGACAAAAATCGGTTTATCACCCCCTGAATGTCATTTTTGAGTACGGATTTTGATAGCTTTGGACTCGTGAGGGTCGAATTGACCCAGAAGCGCTGTGAGCTCAAGCTCTAGCTCATTCATTTGAGTGTACGTTTTTCAGTCTTTTCGACCTGTGTTCGACGATCGTCATCTAGCGAAATAAACTGCAATTAATACACCCCCCCATTTCCCCCTCTCAACTAATACACAAATAACAATAATAATAATA